GGTTGTGGCTGAAGAGCCATGACTGGTTGAAGCTAACACAGCTGAACCTGTCACGCCGCCAAAAAATGACAGACGCTCCGAGCACTTGAACAGGTTCCAAAGCCGTGATTATAAACCTAACCTTCCAGAGCGTTGGAACCTCAGGTTCCCGACGGCGTCACCCGGGCAACTCATTCCACGTGTAATAGATCAACAACACAGCAGATCCGTCAGTGTCAGTGTCATGCTGCATAACTGTGGCATGTATTATCTTGCAAGCAACAACTGCACAAACTGCAGCACAAAGAGCGGTGGCAGCGTAGATGAGGTTGCGCTACCCCATCCCTGATGTCGCAGCCACGTTGAGCCTTTGTCGGAACCTGATGGTCGACTCAAATTCAGTTTCCAAAGAAATTGATGTCGACTCAGAAACAGCTGGGAACTTGTTTTGGACATACACAGCCGCGCGGAGCAGTATTTTTGCACTGCTTGAGATCATCAGCTTGCATTGCAAGTATATACATGACGCGGGGAGACATGAAAAGGAAGTATATAAAGCATGCAATTTGCTTTAAGGAGCAGCCACCTAGAACGCCCATCCAAGCAGGATAGTGAGATCTCAAAGCTCAGGAGCTGAGGTCCTTACCAAAAAAGATCAAAGCTTGAGCCCAGGTCTTTCCAGAGACCTGATAGCAGTAGGCCCAAGAGAAATCACCACTGGCCAATTTCAAACTGGAGACTCTGCTGCCGAAAAACAGTACTTGGAAGCGTTTCTTGAATTGAAAATTCACTTGGAATCTTGGTTTGGAACTCGGAAGCACTAATTGTTCGAAACCTTGGCTTTTAACCTCATTCGCAACTCAGAACCTTTACTTGGAACCCTTGAGTGAAACAAACTTGCAGAAATTGGCTAAACGCATCTCTAGAACCTTGATTCTGGACCTTCCTGAATCCTCTAGAACCCTTACCTGGAACTGTTAGACAAAAAGGAATCGGCTCTCCAAACCTCTCAAAAAACAAATACCACCTGTTACAGGAAACGGTTCCCTCCCACAAGAAATAGAAGAGCATCAAAAATGCAAAGCAACTTGAAGTGGCCACAGGTTAACAACTGCAAAGGATTCTCAATTGTCCAAGCAACCACTGCAAAACTGCCCCTGTACGGAGGCTTCAATGCCTGCGATGCATCTTTGAAGGATGTTGGACAAGACAGCATCATAGTAGCACTGGCGCCCTGCAATCACGCATCCCATCACCGCCTCCCAAAATAGGCTTGAAGACGAACCAAACCCTGACCTCAAACGCTCACACACTTCACAATAACCGGTCAAGGGATGAATTACTGCTATGAAGCATGATTTTTTTGTCTGAGAAAGAGACTGACCAATAGTGGCTGCTTTCCAGACCGGAAACGTCACAAAGGATGAGACCTGTGGAGGCTGGAGGTAATGCAAAGCAATGTATCCTACAGCAACCACTGCCCTTGCTAGTTGGGTGCTCACTCTCTACCCTGCTTTCCACTCACAATAATAGTGCTTTTGTATTTCACATATCATACGTGCCAGAGCACTGCAGAAGCGGCAAAATAGGGCAAGGGATCTGCGACAGTCACCATTGCTGGTAGGTGGTTCAGACCAATCCCGTGTGGCAACATTGCTGTCACATCCGGATATGTGATTTGTGCAACTTCATTCACCCATTGACCACGTCTCCATGGGTAAACATAATCTTGCTCTTGAGCATGCAAGAATTGACCAACAGCAAAGAAACCAAACACAAAAGTTTTGAGAAAAGAAGAGAGGATGAATCTGGACTTTGAACGGATTGAAATCCTTAAAGGGAAAACAGGTTGAAGGTCACTCCCATTACGAATTCATGCAATAAAACCTTAACCCAGTGCCACAGGATCTCACTGCACAATTGATTTGCGATTTTCAGGTTTAAATCATGTTCAAAAAGATGTTTTGAACAACAGGTTGGCTTGTTTTGCAACCAACGCTCATTTTTGGACATCACAAACTGTTTTGTGAACACTACAACATTAAAACCTCATTTTGTTTAATTTTGTGTGTTATGTCCAAAACACAAGTTATTCCAACTCCCCTTCGTTTCAAACCCAATTAGAAAGTATAAACAAAGTAATTTGATCAAACCTGTTTTCTCACATTTACTCAAAAATGAAATACCTACTTAGTTGGACATAAGTGGTTCAATCTTTAGAATTTCAAGTGTCTATACCTCCACATTGCACGGAAAAAAATTTGGATGGTTCAACATTCTTTTATATGTTACTTCAAGTTAACCCTGGGTTTGCATGTCACGGCTTGGAACATTGCTGAAGTCGATTGTCTTTATCGTCCTTCTATTTCATTATCACGGCGCGTTGCAAGGTCGGAGGAGACAAGGAAGCTGAGAGGAGCACAAGAAGTGAGATATGTACTGCTCTGCTCACGGGTAACACCGGACATGAGCGACAAAAATTCAAGTCCAAGTATCCAAGTGCATCACAAACAAGCAAACAACGGGTGAAGCAACGCAATGAATCAAGCCGCCTCTCAAATCAGGAGCAGGCAGCAGGACCAAATAGTTCTTTCGCCGTTCATATTTCCACAGGTCCATTGTTCCATGTCCGTTGACCGATCGTCCAGAGCTGAGCAATTCATGTCAACAGTGCACTTTAATCGTTCCAGTTCAGCTACCTCAGTCCCTGAGGCTTGCAGGCCTCATGGTCTCCCTCACAGCATGACAAAGGAGCACAGCACACTCGGTCTGACATGCACATTCATAGTTAGAGAAAATGGAAAAACACAGGAAAGTGAGTGAAAAATATTCCGAAGTAAATGCATTCCCTTGAATCGAAAAACCAGAGGAAACAATTCATGTCGCGCTTTCACCCGTCTTCGCAAGTGAAAAGCTACACCAAATGATTTTCACTTCTCCTCTCTGGAAGAACTCAATCCTTCAAAGCAGGATCATTTCGCCTGCTGAACGTATAGGAGACGGTCCTGGCTGTCTCTCAACTCACTGAAGAGCACTCCATACAGGCGAAACTGCCCAAGATGATTGAAATGCAGATGACCCTCCAGGGTCAACCAACGATATCCCAAGTCTACGATATTGAGCTCAACACGTGTTGTTTGGAATCCTTGTCCTCTGCCTTCGACTCACTGTTCTCCATCTCGTCCTCAGTCAAACTCATGTTGTTCAGATTGCATTTCTTGGCTGGCGGTTCCCATGTGCAAAAACGAAAGCCCCTTTCCAGAGCCTCCGCGGGAGTGTCGCGACGCCCAAATCGTCCACTATATATAGTGTATAGGGATCTGGCGTGGTTCCCTTCCCACTCTGCATGTCTTGGAATTGGGACGGAGACAAACCAATGAACTTCCTCATCGGGGGAAAAGAGGAAGAGGAAGAGGAAAAGGAGAAGAGGAAGAGGAAAAGGAGAAGAGGAAGAGGAAAAGGAGAAGAGGAAGAGGAAAAGGAGAAGAGGAAGAGGAAAAGGAGAAGAGGAAGATGAAAAGAATAAGAGGAAGAGGAACAGACGAAGAGGAAGGGGAACAGAGGAAGAGGAAGGGGAACAGAGGAAGAGGAAGGGGAACAGAGGAAGAGGAAGGGGAACAGAGGAAGAGGAAGAGGAACAGAGGAAGAGGAAGGTGAACAGAGGAAGAGGAAGGGGAACAGAGGAAGAGGAAGGAAAACGAAGGAAGAGGAAGGAAAACGAAGGAAGAGGAAGGAAAACGAAGGAAGAGGAAGGAAAACGAAGGAAGAGGAAGGAAAACGAAGGAAGAGGAAGGAAAACGAAGGAAGGGGAAGGAAAACGAAGGAACGAAGGAACGAAGGAACGAAGAACCGACCGACCGACCGACCGACCGACTTGCTCGTGCTTAGCTGGGAATGAGGGAATGAAGTGGGAACCTGGGCATTTATAGATTCCCTGAGATCTTGTGAAGGGACTTACCACTTGAACAAGTCCAACTCTTGCTGCATGTTGGAAAAGGTCGGAGTGAACGCAATTGCAATCACGCTTGATTTGGGAATACAAAACTTGCTGATTTTAAAAAAAAGTACGCTGCAAGAGTGTGCTTTTGCATTTTTTGGTAAGAGTGTGCTTTTGCACGTTTTGGTTTTTGACGTACGTCCCCTGAATTTTAAGATAGGCAAAAAAGAAAAAGTTCATTTATTTGTCTCAGATAGCGTGCTTGGCAGCAAATCACAAATGGATGGCTCAAACGGACATCACGCTGTAAGAGTGTGATTTGTTTTTTGATCATGTGTGTCGTTCTCTGGCAGGGAGTCCAACATTGAGTCGTTGTTCTGAGCATTGTTTTCCATCGAAGTTCACAAGTTCAGTGACTTTTGCGTGACCACTGGCAACAAAAAACAGGCCAGGGGGGGGCAGGGCGACTCAATAAAACCAACGGCGCCAACACTGTGAGACACAGGTTGAACAGAGTGACGCAGGTTGAACAGATCAATTGCGTGGCAGTTGCATTACTGTAGAAAAGTGAGGAAGTGTGCGAATGGAAGAGTTGCTCCATGGTTGTTTTGGTTCAGATGTTTCTTTCCTTCTCCGTCCTTTTCTTGTTCTTCATGATTTCTTTCAAAGCGACATTATCCCACTGCTCAATTGGCCTAGTGCCATGGTTCCAAGATTACCGTTGCTCGATTGGCTTTGGTTTAGTACGGCGCTGTAAAGTGCCAAACAGTTTGATTGGTGCGCTCAAAAGCTTTCCGCCAGGTTCACCTGAACTCTGGCCCAACGCTCAGGGTTTTGACTTTAGCGCGGCGCTGTAAAGTGCCAAACATTTGTTTCGTGTGGTCAACAGCTTCGGCCAGGTTCACCTGCACTCTGGCCCAACTCTCAGAGTTTCCAATGCGCCAAGCTTCCAGGGCAGTTAACTCTTTATATTGTCTATCTACAGGCATGAGAATCTCATTCAAG